ACTTCACTGTGGTTGTTAATATAGCTTATTTCTCCCCAACATTGAAGCTTTACTGTCAGTTCTTATTTTTTATTATGCTTATACCATGCCTTTTCCTTATGTATTAGTCCATTCTCACACTGCTATAAAGCACTGCCCGAGACAGGGTAATTTATAAAGAAAATATGTTTAATTGACTCACAGTTCAGCATGACTGGGGAGGCCTCAGAAAATTTACAATCATGGTGGAATGGGAAGCAAACACATCTTCTTCAAATGGCAGCAGGAAGGAGAAGCGCTATACAAAGGGAGAAAAGCCCCTTATAAAACCATCAAATCTTGGGAGAATCATCCCCATGATTCACTTATCTCCCACGACATGTGGAGATTATGAGAACTACAATTCAAGATGAGATTTGGGTGGGGACATAGCCAAACCATATTACCTTATAACAGTAGAAAACCATTTTTCTCCTTTCTATGTTTCTATTTGGAATGGAAAATAAAAATAGTTAAAAAATAGACAATGTATTTCATGTGTTGCAGAAGAAAAGAGAATATATATATTTTCATTGAAGTGTAAAACTTTTCTACTTAATTTATGTGAAAATCCTTAGCCGATATGCCACTTTTCCATGATTTTTCTGGTTTCCCTGGACATTTAATTCTATGTCCTATGTTCTAGAGTCAGCAGTCAAAAAAAATTTTTTAAATCTTATTTAAAGCCTACAAACTCCATAGGTAATTTGGGTTTCCTTGTGTCTACTTAGAGGAGATAGGTACCTTTATTACTGGAATAAATAAGCACTAGCAGTAAATCAAAACTGTAAGCTTGTGCAGTATAATTTAATCATCAAAGCAATCCAGCATAAGTTGAAAGAAAAACTATTTCTGTGAAGATGAGAATCAGGTACTAGATTGCAATTACTCTGCTTATGCTCCCTACAATAGCTTTTCTGTTCCTTGGCATTTCTTTCTCTCCCTTTCTTTTTTTTTCTTCCTCCCAGCATTAATTAGGTATACATAAAAAATAAAAATTATATATATTTAAGGTATAAAATGTGATGCTTTGATTTATGTGTGCATTGTGAAATAATTATCACTGTCAGACTAATTAACATATCCATGACCTCAGATATTTACCATCTTCTTTGTGTGGTGAGAAAATTTAAGAACTACTCTCTTAGCAATTTTTGAGCATACCATACGGTATCATTAACTATAGTGCCCATGCTGCATATTTGATCTCTAGAACTTAATCTACTGTAACTTTGTTTCCTTTGACTTGCAACTCCTCATTTCCCCCATATTTTAGCGTGTGACCACCACCATTATTCTCTGCTTCTGAGTTTGAATTCTTTAGATTCCATATATACAAGTGAGATTAACCAGTATTGTATTTGTTTTTCCGTGCCTGGTTTATTGCACTTAGCATAATGTAATCCAGGTTCATCCATATTGTCATGAATGGGAGGATCTCCTTTTTGCTACTCAATAGTATTCCAATATGTGTGTGTGTGTGTGTGTGTGTGTGTCTACTCACATTTTTAAATATATTTATCTGATGACTGACACTTAGGTTGATCCCACATCTTGCATGTTGTGAATAGTGCTGCAATGAAGTACAGATATCTCTTTGAGATACAGGTTGTGCAAGCCAAATCCAAAAGTCCAAAGTTGAAAATACTCAAAAATTTGAAACATTTTGAACACCAACATGATCCTCAAAGGAAATGCTGATTGGAGAACTTTGGATGACAGATTTTCAGATTTGGAATGTTCAACCTGAAAGTATATCCTTTATCTGCAATGCTTGGGATCAGAGGTTTTTCAGATTTCTGATTTTTTTTGTTGTTGTGGGTTGGGGGTGGATTTTGAAATGTTTGCATTATATTTACCAGTTGAGCATCTCCAATCTGAAAATCGGAAATTCTCCAGTGAGTAATTTCCTTTGAGTATCATGCTGGCACTCAAAAAGTTTTGGATTTTGGAGAATTTTGAGTTTCAGATTTTCAGATTAGTGATACTCAAACTGTAAAGCAACTATTCCTAATAATAAAGAAATCTAAAATCTGTAACAATTTTTTAATGATTGCCATTCTAACTGGCGTGAGATGGTATCTCAATGTGGTTTTGATTTGCATTTCTCTAATGACCAATGATGCTGAGCATTTTTCATGTTTGTTGGTCTCATATATGTCTTTTTTTTTAAAAAAAAAATATCTGTACATATCCTTCACCAACTTTTGAATTGGTTTGCTTGCTTTTTTTCCTTCTAAATCTGTTTTAGTTCTTTGTAGATCCTAGATATCAGCCCTTTGTCAGATTGGTAGACTGCAAAAGTTTTTTCCCATTCTGTTGGTTGTCAATTCACTCTAATGACTGTTTCTTTTGCTGTGCAGAAGCTGTGGAGTTTAATTAGGTCCCATTTGTCTATTTTGGCTTTTGTTGACAAAGCTTTTGGTGTTTTGGTCATGAAGTCCTTGCCTATGCCTATGTCCTGAATGGTTTTTCCTAGATTTTCTTCTAGGGTTTTTATGGTGTTAGGTGTTATGTTTAAGTCCTTAATCCATCTGGAGTTAATTTTAGTGTAAGGTGTCAGGAAGGGGTCCAGTTTCTGCTTTCCGCACATGGCTGGCCAGTTTTCCCAACACCATTTATTAAACAGGGACTCCTTTCCCCATTGATTTTTTTTTGTCAGGTTTGTCAAAGATTGGATGCTTGTAGATGTGTTTGTTGCCTCCAAGGCCTCTGTTCTGTTCCATTGGTCTATATCTCTGTTTTGGTACCAGTACCATGCTGTTTTGATTACTGTAGCCTTTTAATATAGTTTGAAGTCAGGTAGCGGGATGCCTCCAGCTTTGTTATTTTTGCTTAGGATTGTCTTGTCTATGCAGGCCTCCTTTTGTTCCGTATGAGGTTTAAGGTGGTTTTTTTTCCAGTTCTGTAAACAAGGTCATTGGTAGCTTGATGGTGATAGCATTGAATCTATAAATTACTTTGGGCAGTATGGCCATTTTCACAATATTGATTCTTACTAACCATGAGCATGGGATGTGTCTCCATCTGTTTGTGTTGTCTCTTATTGCCTTGAGCAGTGGTTTGTAGTTAGACCATCCTGGCCAACATGGTAAAACACCATCTCTACTAAAAATAGAAAAACTAGCTGGGCATGGTTGCACACACCTGTAGTCCCAGCTACTCGGAAGGCTGAGGCAGGAGAATCACTTGAACCTGATAGGTGGAGGTTGCAATCAGCCCAGATCCCCCCATTGCACTCCAGCCTGATGACAGGTGAGACTCTGTCTCAAAAGAAAAAAAAAAGTGGGCAAAGGATATGAACAGACACTTTTCAAAAGAAGACATTTAAACAGCCAACAAACATATGAAAAAATGCTCATCATTACTGGTCATTAGAGAAATGCAAATCAAAACCACATTGAGATACCATTTCACACCAGTTAGCATGGCAATCATTAAAAAATCTGGAGACAACAGATGCTGGAAAGAATGTGAAGAAATAGGAACACTTTTACACTGTTGATGGGAGTGTAAATTAGTGCAACCATTGTGGAAGACAGTGTGGCAACTTCTCAAGGATCTAGAAATAGAAATACCATTTGACCCAGCAATCCCATTACTGGGTATAAACCCAAAGCATTATAAATAATTCTACTATAAAGACACATGCACACATATGTTCATAACAGCACTGTTTATAATAGCAAAAACTTGGAACCAACCCAAATGCCCACCAATGATAGATATGCTGCTTTCTAATGTTCTCAACTGTGAAGAAGAGAGCATAGAAAATCTGCAGAAGTGGATGTTTGAGTATATTTATTGTCTGTGATCTATGTCTATTATTATTTTCTTTTCTCTGCTTGGTCCTGTATTCCATTGTCACCTGGTACTACTTTCATTAAACCTATTATGATCCATTTCTGTTTATACTACAAGAGGTATTGTTATCTTCATATACATGTGTAAAATGGAACAACGAAAGTTTGCACCCTGCTCAAGGTCACATAATTTATAGAGTTGCAGAGCTGACACTTAACATTTTTGAGATACTGTAGCACAAACATACTGTTCATATGGTTATTTGCAGTCTTACCCAATGGTTGAATACAAAACAAAATAAAACAAAAAAAGACAGTAGGTGAGTAGACAGCAGTAGTAATTAAGGAGATCAGTAAGATGCTTTAATGGATGGTGGAATTTTTGGGTCTTTTTAAATTCACTCATCTCCACAACTTCTGACCTATAGTTAGAATTTTTGATTTCTCCTGGGCTCTTTTTATTTTTAATCCCTAGTAATTCCAAAGGTCTGAGAAGGGCAGAACAAAAAGCAATTCATCATGTTGGCGAGCAGAGATCTATATTTCCCTGGAGCAAAGCATTGAACCTTTGAGTTTCAAGCAGCTTGGGATATTGAGTCCAAATCATCAGATTTCAGACATAAAATAGTAAAAAAAGTAGTAACTCTGGAAAATGCATTCTCAGCCTGAAATCTTATCTTATACTTCCTCAGAAAAAGAGAATGTTACCATAAGATAAACAGAAGATAAAACGTTCAGCACTTTCATCTGCCCTGGGACCAGGAGAACACAGTGGGAATGATTGAGCAATTAAAGCAATATAATCTATATGTGGAAGGTAAAGGAGACTGTGTATTTAGTGAAGACTATTTCTAATATGCCTCTCTATGCTATGCCAGCTCTTTAATGGATACCTTGGCTGCATGAAAACAGCAGGAAACTATATTGCACTCCAGACGCTATCATTTAGGTGGCCCCCTGCTCCTGGTTCTGCTGACAAGCAGGTTGTACAGACAGAACAGGGACTATTTTTCAAGAAGCTCTGGTTTCTGATGTCATAGCATCATTTTAAAAGCTTGTTCTACTCACTTTAAAATGATCTAATTGAGATAGAGCTCAGGTCCTAGCAAGAAAACACTTGGCTTGCTACATAAGTAGCTCATCTGCCTTACAAGAGGTTTTCCTGTGTTTGATTTTTAGCCAGCTGAGGTGACCAAGCAGTGAAAGCCCAGAAGGACTTTAAGTGCTGAAAGAAGGAAGAAATCCTCAGGAAGTCCAGTAGGAAGACATATTTTTCTATAATTTGCTGCCATGTAGAATCACCAGTGTGACAATGAGTTCATTTCAAACACATCAAAAACTTTTTTCTTATTCTTTCTTCATTTCTTTGCTGAATTTTGAATACTTAATTAAGATTTAGTTTCTTGTCCATTAATTCTTTCTTTAGCTATGACTACTCTGCCATTAAATTTATTCACTGAGTTTTTAATGTTAATTATTTGTATTTCAGACATTTTATGTGGTTTTGATTTTAGTCTTTTTAGAAATTTTTCATGTTTTCTTCATGTAACTATTTTAAGGTTAGAAAAAAATCTCTGAGTATATTAAATACATTTTCCTCATAGTTGTTCTTTAATAATTACACTATCTGAAGGATTTCTTAGTTTATTTCTTCTATTATTTCCTCTGATTTTTGCTTCTGATACCTTGTTTCTGTATGTATTTAGTAATTTTATTTATGAGCTCCTCATTTGCCTTAGATTTTTAATTTTGATATTTCTCTGGGATCTGGGGTAGAAGTGTATTTTTCCAGAGAGGATTTACATTTACTTCTGTGGGTCTAGGATCTCTAAAAACTATATTTTCAATGTGAGATTGTGCATAAGCCTGCAGGAGGGCCAGTTTGTGGGTCCACAATATTATTCACTATTTTTGACCAGTGCCCCACTAGGCATCTTCGAGGTTTGAGAGAGTTTATTTTTCTTGTGGTTTTCTGCAAAGTGGTTTATTTATGGGCTTCCATTTACCTGAAGATATAGCCATTTGCTATTAGAGTTTTAAAAGGATAAATGTCCTATCTGAGGCCTAGGCTTTGATTTTTATTTTCCATGTAATGTGAGTCCATGAAAACTGAAATTCACATTCACATTTTTGGGCAAATACTCTGAGTAAATGCTGGCTACATTCCTATGCTTATTTCTTTGGGTTCACTAAATTTCTACAATACATCCTGCCACATTATTGCAAATGGAAATCTTAATCAAAAACATTTTGGCTAAAGAGGGTTGGACTTATTCGCAGCTATTCTTTTAATTTATTTTCTTGTTGATATAGTATGGATGACTCTTTATTAGTTTCCCATGTAATATCCAGCTTTGTCACCTGAACTTTTGGGGATGGAAATATATTAAATTTTCATCAATAAAAAGCACACAGAGACTATCTGTACTTTAGGCACTTGCCAGTATGTGGAGACATGAATCGACTATCATCTACTCCCTGCCAGATATATGGCTGAAATAATGGTTAATTGAGACAGAGAGAGAGAAACTGACTATCTTTTGAAGAACCATGTCAACCACTCACTTTCATAGATTTTCTCTGCTCTATACCTCTCAGTTTAGAGCATTAGAAAGTAGCATAGCTGAAGTTATATTAATTGCTATACACAAAGTTTCACAGAATCCTGATTGAATTAATATTGCCTCCATTTTATAGAACAATGTTATAATTCTTATACTAGTTAAGAAATTACCATGAAATATTGTAGAATACTAATAGAAAGAAATTACCATAAAGTATTATAGTTGCAAAGAAAATCCAAAATTGCTTGGAGGCCTGCAAGCTTCTGCATTATGCACTCCTCCTGATCCTTCCTAGCTGACTTGATGCCAGCTTCCCTCCCCACATGACCTAGTCACCTTGGGCTTTTTTCAGTTTCTCTCTCAGGGCCTTGTGTGTTAAGGCTTCTGCTTATAATTTCCTTTCTTCTTTGTTACAGAACATTTCTCTTTTTATTTTTATTTTTTCAGTCCACAAACATTTATTGCACGCCTAAACTATGCTCATCTCTGAACAGTAGTGGATAAGACAGACTTACACAGCAGTGAACAATATAACATAAACTCCATGAGAATAGGAGTTTATATTCTAGGGACAGAGTGACAAACAAATGAAAAATTTCCAAAGTGCACAGGATGTATGGGGAACAGTTTGGTGTGAGATGGTATGTGTAAGGACTAAGGAAGGTAAGATTTTGTAGAAGTAAGGCTAATTGGTAAAGGTATTTGGATTGCAAAAGGGCAGTGTTTTGGGGGTTAGAAAAGCAGAGAAGTGACAAGCGAGGTTTTTGAAAAATAATTTATTATAGTATATTTAAGGGGTACAAGTGCAGGTTTCTTACATGCATATATTGCATAGGGATAGAGTATGGGCTTTTAGTGCACCCATCACCAGAATAGTGAACATTGTAACCAAAAGGTAGTTTTTCAGCCCTAACCCCGCTCCCACCCTCCCACCTCTCATAGTCTCCAGTGTCTATTATTCCACTCTGCATGTGCACATGTACATATGGTTTAGCTCCTACTTACTAGTGAAAACATGTAATAATTGATTTTCTGTTTCTAAAGTATGTCACAGAGGATAATGGTCTCCAGTTCCATCCATGTTGCTGAAAAAGACATGTTTTCATTATTTTTTATAACTAAGCAATATTTTAGAAGTTTGCAGAGATCCTGGACCCTCCACCACATGATGCCCTAGTCACATTGGGCTTTTTTCAGTTTCTGGTTTATATATATATATATATATATATATATATATATATATATATATCCCCTGACCACAAGCTTTGGCTTTCCTGTGGGTGCCGCGATACTGGTGGATGAAGTTGGCGTGGATGTAGCAAAACATGTGGCAGAAGATCTGGGCAAAGCCTTTGGGGAGCGGTTTGAAGGTGGAAACCCAGAACTGCTGACACAGATGGTCTCCAAGGGCTTCCTTGGTCAAAAGTCTGGGAAGGGCTTTTACATCTATCAGGAGGGTGTGAAGAGTAAGAATTTGAATTCTGACATGGATAATATTTTAGCGAATCTGAAGATACCTCCAAAGTCTGAAGTCTCCTCAGACGAAAATATCCAGTTCCGCCTGGTGACAAGATTTGTGAATGAGGCAGTCATGTGCCTCCAGGAGAGGATCTTACCCACACCTGCAGAGGGAGACATCGGAGCCGCCTTTGGGCTTGGCTTCCTGCCCTGTCTTCGAGGGCCTTTCGGCTTTGTGGATCTGAATGGCGCCCAGAAGCTAGTGGACCGACTCAAGAAGTATGAGGCTGCCTATGGAAAACAGTTCATGCCCTGCCAGCTGCTAGCTGACCATGCTAACAGCCCTAACAAGAAGTTCTACCAGTAAGCGGGTCTCACGCCTCACTCCATCAGTGCACTAACCCCAGCTGCTGGCAGTGCTGGTTCTCCAACAGACTGGTGTCTAGATTTATCAGAGTAACGAGAAGGAAGATAAATCCTGGCATTGGGTTTGCTTCCCAATTAAACTGCCTTCAGCCAAGACCACCTCTCCCTCCTGGTGAAGTCTGTGAATTAGAGTTTGCACTTCCTATTGGAAGGTGGAACCCACTGTGCTCATTGTGTAAGTCCCGAGGCCTAGAGTGGCAGCCAAGAGCCATCTGGAGCCATCTCTGTGCCTGTACCTACCAGGAGGCCAGGGTGGTCAGAGGTGGTGAGGGCAAATTCTGCACCCAACCAAACACATAACGATAAAAACCAATCTCTGTATCACCAAAAAAAAAAAAAAAAAAAAAAAAACACCACACATGATATAGATAACACTTTTTCATCTAGTTCTCTATTAATGGACACTTAGGCTAATTTCACCATCCATATTTTTGCTATTGTAAATAGTGCTGTGATAAATGTACAAATGCAGGCATCTTTTAATATAATGATTTCTTTCCCTTTGGGTGTATACCAAGTAGTGGGATTGTTGTATTGAATGGTAGTTCTATTTTTAGTTCTTTGAGAAATATCCAGTTTGTTTTGCATTAAGTTTGTACTAATTTACACTCCCACCAAAAGTGTATGTGTTCCTCTTTCTCTACATTCTTGCCAAAATTCTAGACTTTTTTCTAATAGCCATTCCATTAGTTGGTATAAGATGGTATCTCATTATGGTTTTCATTTGCATTTCTCTGATGATTAGTAATGTTGAACATTTTTTAAATATGTTTGTTGACTGCTTGTATGTCTTTTAAAAATGTACGTCCTTTGTCCACTTTGTAATGGGGCTATTTTTTTGTTCTTGTTAAGTTGCTTGAGTTCTTTATAGATTCTAGATATTAGTTCTTTTCATAGTTTGCAAATATTTTCCACAATCTGTAGGATGTCTGCTTACTCTGATATTTGTTTCTTTTGCTTTGCAGAAGGTATTTATTTTAATTAAATTCAATTTGTCTATTTTTTGTTTTTCTTGTATTTGCTTTTGAGGACTTGATCATAAATTATTTGCCTAGCCCAATGTACAGAAGAGTTTTTCATAGGATCTTTATATTTTTAGGTCTTATGCTTTCCACACATCTTGAGTTAATTTTTGTATATGGTGAGAAATATGGTTAAAGTTTCATTCTTCTGTATATGGCTCTCCAGTCTCCAGCACCATTTATTGAATAGGGTGTCCTTTATCCAGTGCATATTTTTGTTGACATTGTTGAAGATCAGTTGGTTGAAGGCAAGTGGCTGCATTTCTCGGTCCTTTGTTATGTTCCATTGATCTATTTGTCTATTTTTATTACCAGTATCATGGTGTTTTGGTTACCATAGCTTTGTAGTATAATTTGAAGTCAGGGAATGTGATGCCACCAGCTTTGTTCTTTTTGGTTAGGATTTCTTTGTCTATTTGGGCCATTTTTGGTTCCATATAAAATTTAAAATTATTTTAAATAATTTTGTCAAAATGATGTTGGTCATTTGATAAGGATTGCATTGACTCTTTGTATTGTTTTGGGTTGTGTGATCATTTTAACAATATTGATTATTCCCATCTATGATCATGGGATGTTTTTCATTTGTTTGTGTCATCTAGAGTTTGTTTCATCAATGTTTTATAGTTCTCCTTATCGAGATCTTTCACCTCCTTTGTTAAATATATTCCTAGGTACTTTATTTTTGTATCATGTTAAGTGAGATTGCCTTCTTGATTTGGTCCTTAGCTAGATTATTATTGGTGTATAGAGACACTACCAATTTCTGTAACTTTATTTTGTATCC